AAAGCACCGGGATTTTGGCCAATAAATGTGAATCATGGTATGTTGAACTTGCACATGTATTCTTTAAGGCCTATTACTGGAAGTTTGTTTCAATAATATGTTACTCATCCACATTCGCTCTGAAGCTAAAATTTGCTTTTGCAAAATGTCAGATTCTTCAGCACTTCTGCTAGCCCTCTTTAGTCTTCAACCAATTTTCCTCTTTACTACCAATTGCCAACAAAAACTGCCAGGCTATCTCAGCTAAGAATATATTATCCAGTATATTCCAATTATGCTTTTTAAACTTTAATTCATCCAAAAGGCAAAGCTAAAAGTATTAGACACCTGGCATTTCAAAAACTGCATTAAACAGCACTATTAATATTTCTCTTAACATTCACTACATCTTCACTATTCACTGTATTTATTTATTTATATCTACATTTATTTATTTATTTATTTATTTATTTGATTTGATTTGATTTATCTACATAATCTCCAACTGCGCATAAGGGCTCAACCTGAATATGATATAGGGTAAACCAATTATTTGTATATTACTCAAAAAATGAGTAGGTCAGATGGAAAGCTCTTTAATATAGATTGAGAGCAAAGACCAAACTCCAACTGAAATGCATGTGGGACTTTGATGATGCAGCCGTTGTTGCCCACTTTGCTGAAGACCTCCAACAACTCATGAAACGTTTTAGCAAGGCCTGCCAAGACTTTGGACTAACAATCAGCCTGAAGAAAACACAAGTCATGGGCCAGGGCGTGGACTCACCTCCCTCTATTACCATCTCCACACAAGAATTGAAGGTTGTTCATGACTTTGTGTACCTTGGCTCAACGATCTCTGACACTCTCTCCCTAGATGTCGAGCTGGATAGATGCATTGGCAAAGCAGCTATCATGTTCTCTAGACTCACAAAGAGGCTATGGCTCAATAAGAAGCTGACAGCAAATACCGAGATCCAGGTCTATGTGTTTTTGTTGTGGATGTATTGTTGTGATGGGGGGGGGGAGAGAGATTATCTGTCACTGTGATTGATGGGTGTCTTTATCTGAGCTGATCACCATAATCACCCTATCTCCTGAAAAGGAGAAAAGCTGTTCCCACAGCTATAAATACTCAACCACCCAACAAACAGCAATAGAGCATGGACAGAGTTCCTACTCCTGTTCCTCTGAAGATGCCGGCCACAGAGACTGGCGAAATATCAAGAAGAACAACCTTCAGAACACGGTCAAAGAGCCCGAAAAACCCACAACAACCAAATCTCTTCTGACTTAATCAGGAGCTCACCTACCAGTAGATGTACCACAACAGTGTGAAAGACACTGGCCTGGTCAGGACACAACGTGAAACCAAGTTTTAACTTTACTGTACCTACATGACTTGTAAGAAAACTGAGAGAAGCAGTGGGGTTCAATATTGCCCCATCTGCTCCATCTGTCCCCTAATATTTAAATTATAAATTATGATTTAAAAGGTTTTTGTATGTTTTCTAAGCTGGTTGCATAGCTCTGTGAGTTGGACACCCAGCTGCAGAGCCAGAGGTTAAGAGTTCAATTCCCCACTGTGCTTCCCAGAAGAGCCAGCCTGTGTGGCCTTGGGCAAGCTGCACAATCCCAGTATGCTGCCAAAAGAAGGGAATGGTAAACTGCCTCTGAGTTCATCCTACCTAGAAAACCTAGAAAAATATTTAATCTTCAATTAATATTTATTTATTTTATTTTTATTTATTATTGGATTTTTATCCTGCCCTTCTAGACAGGAGTCTACTCAGGGCGGCTCACAATATATTGTACACAAACAGATAAAAAAAACAATTAAAATCTACAATAATAATATGATCAAGATGGGAGGATAAACAACAAAAACCAAGAAAAGTAAAATCAATTTTTGGGTCTCTCTCAGCGTCAGGCCCCTCAGCTGTCTTTCCTGGCTATGGCGTGTGACTCGAGTAGATCTAGGTGGGAGAAGACGTTCTGCCAGGTATCGAGGTCCTAAACCATTTAGGGCTTTGTATGTCATCATTAGCACTTTGAAGTCAATGCGGAAATGAATGGGCAGCCAATGCAAAGCAGCCAGGATGGGAGAGATATGCTGGAAATTTCTCATTCAGTCCTGATTACACATGGGCACTTCGTATTCGTATCCCTAGGAATATGAATACGAAGTGTGGCACCATAGTGCCGCAGAGATCTGTTCTTTCCCATCAAAACCAGCCGGTCCACTCACTGGTCACATGTCTGTTGTCGACATCACGCCAATCACAGAGTAATCTGACCAACACTTCCCTGCCTCCCTGCACAACCGACCACTGAACAGCTGAGCAGAGAGTGGTCAGCTGTATGGGGAGACAGCAAAGTGCTGGCTGGGCTACTTCAATGATTAGCACAATGTCGACAACGATGAACACGCACACTGTGTGTCAACCAGTGAGTGAACCGGCTGGTTCTGGTGGGAGGGAATGGACCTCCTTGATACCTGTGGTACCATACTTCTTATTTGCATCCCTAGAGACATGAATATGAAGTGCCCATGTTTAGTCCTGATTAGAAGTTGTTTATCATGCTCGTAGAGCATTGTCGTCCACTGTTGTCTGGAAAACACAAGCCCAGCACTGCACTTTAGGCAAGTGCATACTTTTTTTAAAATCTCAGATCTATTATACATTTTCAAAAAGGACTACTAAAATAGATACAGGCAGTGAATTAAAAAACGTATATTTTTTATTTTTTTCTCCCCAGAAAAGGGTTGAACTTTGAAAATGTCAAGAGGAAGGTAATTTCAGACCTAGGAAACTCCTCTGTACACTTCCTTTGCTCTGAGCAGGAAAATTGTAGGTGGTGTAAAGTGTTGGTAAAACACAGCTCCACAGATAATATTGGATTGTAACTTGAAACACTCCAACAGCAAAGACCACATGGAGCTGCCGTTCAACAACATATGGAAGACTGTCTTTTGTCTACCATGATGCAAGAGGAGGTCTTCAGTTAAACAGTTTTACTCTACACTACAGTAGTTCTTCTATTGATCTAGCATTGTCATGGTGAAAAAATTGAAGTCCTTTTGAAGTAAACATTGTATCTGAACATCCTGATAATCAACGCATCATCAAACGCACACAGAGAGAAAATCCAGGAATCAGAGGTAGGGCTACCAGATAAACAAGCCAGAAAATTATTTTTCTTCCTAAGAGTCCCCTGTGGCCAACTTGACTTCTGCCTCTCAAAACACAAGGAACAGGAGTGATTCTGTCCACACTGTGCAGGTTTACAGCTTACACAGGTCAGCAGCATATCTAAATGCTGAAATGAAGCAGTTATCACACAGGGTGATGTTAGCCAGCCATGCATTGCTCAGTGCTGACCACCAAACAAGTGCACATGTATTTCAGCCGATGTCTTTTGTCTTTCTTGAGAAAGACATCTGAATGCCCCTTTTGTCTCCAGTGCAGCTCTGAGAAGCCACCATGTACTGCCTCCTAGCTGACACTTCATGTCATGTCAGCAACACTAAAAAGAAATTGTACACATTGCCAATCTGTCAGCCTCACTTGTATTTCTTGCAGGTTGCAGAATACACACACACACACACACACACACACAGTTACCACCTAAAGAGTTAGTATATACAGTCAACACCTAAAGAGTTAGCAATTACATGCAACTTCTGAAAGGCAGAGCACAGAAGATGAT